AACAGAATTTCAAGCAGTATTCATGCCGGCGCTCATGTCGTTGGGGGGACATTCAAGTCAGTGAGCCAATTGCTGTGCTTGGAAGTAAGCCTCAGGCAGGAGAAGGAACTATGGGAGGAAGTGTCCGGCGCTGTGACCTCTCCTCGGCTTAATCCTAGCGTCAACTACGATTGACTCTGTTGTGAATGCCCCCCCCCCTGACATAAGCGCATGCCATGCCTAATAGCTGACAGTTTATGGCTCTATTCCTAAACACGAATCACATTTTTTGACACACATCAAGCTAGAATTTACAGTAGTCTCCTGCTGACTAGCACTGCCTGTTCTCAAAGATACAGAACTATCGCTGATTTCCCAGGCCAATTCACCACCTACTTTCTCATCGCCGCAACTAAACAACGGTTCCACGAACGAAAATCACCGTCTCAAAAAGAACTATCGATTAGGGCGATTACAGCATCGAATGTTACAATTCCACGCGGATCAACGATTAACACACTTACAGCAATGCGATGAGCGCAGTAAGACAAGTTTAGTAAAAGGCAAAGCACACAAATATAGATTGTTGGTAATGTTAGCAGATGACCAGCAGGAAAACGCACCACACCGGCACTCAATTCGGCTACGTGCTAGCAGGGGGCAGTCCCACAGCTGAGTTACGACGCGTTGCGTTCCACCGACCGCACCGCAACCGCCGCAACTCGGCGCGGCCGGTCATCGTGGGGAGCAACGCCGCTGGTGACGTCGCGCCGGCTGTCGGGTCACGCTTGTCGACATATGGCAACATTTCACCGTCGTCACAATTGCACCATCTGAAGGTCAGTGAGTTTGTTACCGAAGGATACTTTTATTGTTATCCGCAAAACTCGAAGAATAGTCATGACGACTGTAAAGGACGTATAATCGATCTGTAGCGCAAAAGGAAATGGACTTGGTTGCTGGGTAATGGAGAAAAGAGTAGTGGCAATGTTTCTACACAGAAGTTTTTACCGCTACGACGTTTAGCTGTTTAACGGTGCCATTTTGTGGAACCAATCTGGACGTAGCAGTGTTTCTTACGGCCGCTATTTCTCAAATCGACCCGTTCCCTGAATATAACGTTTGTTAATGTAGATGTTCTGCTTTACGGAGTGTTCCTCAGTCCTACCGTTTTTTATATCCAACCCCTGAAGAGGCTGAGCAACTTTTATTGAGTTTCGTTTCAAGGGAAAACGTTGGTCAGTCAGGTCGTTGTCAAAAATTGTTTATTTTTTGCTCCCTAAGAGTAAACATTTCATTTTGTACCTTATATATAATACATATTTCGTAGTTTTATCCTTGATACGGCCTCGCCAACCAGCGCCATATAGTCGTCGCGGTTGCAGATACCAGAAAATGAAGGTCAAGAACTGTCACACACCGGTTCTCTCGAATACAATCTGTTGTTTCATATTGGACACAGTTGGAGTCAGGAACGCTTTCGGTCGTTGCTACATATACCATCTACGTTATTCATTTCAGTCGTTCCCGATGAGTGCAGCAGATGGTTCGGAACCGGGTGAACCCGGCGACGGTCCCGATCCGAGAGCGAACGAAGAGGAGAGGTATCGTCTGAAGATAGCTGTATTGCAAGAGTATTACGATGCGGTTGCACTGGTGAGTTTTCATTATACAAACGTTTGTAAATGTTTTCATGAAGATATCCCCGTTTTTGTTATTTTGCTGAAAAGATATGCCACAATTAGGGCCTTCTTATCCTTGTTCTTTACTTGGGATTGAGACAGAGATACGAATGTGCTACTTAAATATTACTCTTAAGTGTTACTCATACGTAGATGAAGGAGTTAAGGGTAATTCCGTAATCTTACGCGTTGCGAAAATTATACATTCTGGCCGATAAGATATTGGTCCGTTAATTTCATATGGAAGCTATCTAGCCCCATCAAGCACACCTAAAATATTCTAAACAAAGCCGGATCCTATGAAATATTTTGAGTTTCGGGTGGAACCACTCCATGTAGAGTGTTTCCAAGGCTTTGTCACACTTACGCAATTTGTTTTTTGTACCATTTCGAGTTGTAAATGGACAGGCGATATCAGACCATGGTGCATGCATAGTCAGTCGTCCGATCCTAACGATCGTAACGGTCGCACAGCGTTAGATACGTATCGATCGTCGAATACTCAGGCAAGTCTGACGATCGATACGCATCCAATGCTGTGCGACCGTTACGATCGGACGACGACTATGCATGCACCCTTAGCGAAGCAGTCGTAGCCCAAGAAATCGGTAGCATCAAGAAGGGTAAATGGCATCGGCTTTATCGGCCATCGCTACATATACTACTGATTCTGCAGTGTAGGTCTGACCCATATGGCGACCTCAGAAAATTGATATTACGTACGTCTCCAATGCTGTTCATTATCTAATGCCCATTCTGCCTTGCTATGTCTGCATTTACGGCGAACCTAGGCACGAGAAATAACATATTAGTTCGTCAGTTGTTGTGACGGGATGCTGATTTCCGACTAGTCTTTTGAAAAAAAAATGCTATGAAGAATGGTGTGATTTTAGTATGCAGACGGTGTTTTGTGAAGTTTGGCTCTTTCAAATGCTCAAAAGATAAGGTGTTTGACTCCCACTCCCTCCATTTCGTGTAATTATACCATTCGCAATAAAAATATTGCGAGTGACTGTCAATATCCCCCGCCTTGGACATGTGGCTACGACCAGGACAGGTTGTGTACATCTTAAACAAGGCTGCTTAGGACGTACTCGTAGCTTAGTGATACCATTTCTCTCGGGCTGCGCTGCGATGTGGATGCTACTGTAACTTTTCAGCATTGGTAATGAAATGGCAGCGCTACTTAGAGTTTGCATTGTATGCGCAAGTCCTCTGATTTCGGTGTCTCATTTACGACCGATCATGATGATTTTGAAATGCCATCTCTTTGACAATTTTGAAGCTGAGAGCATTTTGCGAATCGAGTGGATACTTGCAGAGTTCACCAATGGTGCGTTGACAACACGCCGTTGACAGCATGTTTATTGATTTATCTATTTATTTACTTAATTATTTATTTGCACGAACGGTGTCCATGAATATGACCTATGATGGAAACAAATAATTAGCCCATCAGAGTACAAAAAGGCCAGATTGATATGTGCTTCTACCAACACGAATTTGTATCTCAATAGTTGCTACCTCACCAGTAATTCCATTATTGCTATGAGCGTTCTGTTCTTCTTGTATAAAAATGGAGGCACAAAATAAAGCTGAACGAGTCCCGTCTATGTGAAAATACAGGACGTACACGTCGCCCGTCATCGTGTTAAGCAGTTTGACAGCAGGGTAATGCTATTACGAACACACGTTTTGGGGACGTTCTGGTAATACTTTTAAAAGAATTACTACCATATTTAGTGTTGATGAGCTGTTTATCCGCCAAATTTTCCTATCCAAATCCTTCTTGGGGTCAGCAACGCCTCATCCTATTCCCGATTTTTTCCTATTCCTATTGCACCACCTTTATCACAAGAATACATACCATGAAATTACAAAGTGGACAGTTATTAGCTCTTTGTAACTGTGTATCCTCATAATTAGTTGAGTTTTATGTGAGTATGAACCACTAGAACTGAATTCTGAGCGCTTCATGCAGTTTCGAGGTATAATTTACTTTCTTCGGGAAATTATGTGCTGAGTCGAATAATATGGTGAGCTTAGCGAGCAGAGAATTTAGTGAAAACTCTCTTACTTAACAGCTCAAAGCAACAAACTTCCCAGTAAATTGGCCGTTCGGTGATGATGATTCAGATACCAACTGATTACTCTTCGAGGGTATCGAGCGCCTGTTCATGATGCATTCTTGACACGTTCTTTGATGTTCAATCCGATTTCCTTATACGTGATATAATCGTTCTTCTTTTTTTTCAGCAAACTGTCCGCATACGTGAGAGAATATATCAAGTGAAGAAGCAATGTCGAAGATTAGAAGCGATGAAGCGTGTCGCGTTGAATATGCTCCATCAAAATACTGGCACGTATGAGATTCCACCGCTTGAGATTATTGACGAGCGTATGTTCTTTTGCAAATGGCATCTTCCTTTATGGCCTCATTCGGGTCTGGTCATCGTTTGCTTACCTTATACGAGTAAAAGTGATTTATATTTAAGTTAGATCTTTTCCCACTCCGATCACCTCAGCTTGCTAACACAGCAAGTTCCGAACCCATCTTCAGTTAAGAATGGCTATTTGTTCCTATATCGTCGAAAAGAAACCGAGATTGAAGTTTTTAAGGAAGGACATTAACAGTGAATTTTGTAGAATTTCTTCCGTCATGCTTGCTGTCAGACACTGAAGTCAGAAATCCGTCGTCGTGGAAAAATTTTTTCTAGTTGCTGCATCTTAATCAAATTTTGCACCCTAGATCAAGTTTTTGTTGTTAGCATAACGTTCTCTAATTTTAAGATTACTATTTGCACAAGGAGCGATGTATATCTGTGGCAGTTGGATGTCCCAAATTCCTTTACGTCTGAGATGTAAAGGCTGGATAGAGTACAGTCACTTCCTGGTCATCCACTTGAAAAGATATAAAACACCTTCACATTGCGGATTTGTTTCGGCTAATTATGGATTCATTTTGTTTGGTTTAATTTTTTATTTCACGGTGCGGTGCAACTTAGGAACCTGTACAGTGTTTTAAGTGCGGTGCGAATAGGACCCTCGACACTTTATCTTCAATTTACGACTCTTTTGTGAAGTCTTGAAATTTCCTGAGAGTTGAGGTTTGTAGTGGATACTTGCTGTGATACGTGCCATGTTAAATATAGGGCAGAAAGTTTTTCATATTGTTACTCTTATACCTACATTCAGACGTTGTTACAGTTCTCCATATGTTCTTTGCGAGATGAAGAATTCATTTGTAGGATCCTGCTCCGTCATTCTTGGAATCCGTGCACAGACAGCAACATACTCCCCCAGAAACGCCGCGTAAAAAGTCAAAGCGGGTAATTTTCTGTTTAAATTGTTATTTCACTCCTTTTCATCGTTTGTCCACCTTGTAAAGGGATGTCTCAGCTTTGAAATTTTCCACTGATTTCAGCCTTCTCGGAGTAAATCAGATGGCAAGCTGACAGCTGAAGAGGAAGAACGTGCTAAGCAAAAGATATGTAGTATAATCGACAGTGTGTACAGTGAAACTGCCAAAAGAATGGTTTGTTCTTCCCTCTATAATTTTAGCTTGAAAATTATCTGTTCCCCAAATGGTTTATACTGGGCTTCACACGATAGATGGTGATATATTATACACAGTGGTGGTGCTGATTGGGTAATTATTTTTATAGGGCTGTGTTTTTTCTGCTTAGTAAATTCTCATACTGGCCCTCGCTTCTTGAGCTGCATTTGGTTCATGTCAGATGAAGTTCGTGTGCTTTTCCTTCATTTTTCTTTTAGTTCCTCAAAAATGGGTAAGTTTGTTGATCTCATTAGTCAGCATTGTCCTTGCTCTTTCGAGCTTCAATGATAGATGATATTTTACGGTATGCTAGGTACATCTTTTTTTGCGCTCAACGCCAAAAATAAAGCGAATATCACGATATCCGATACGTTTTTTAATATATAAACTAGGCAAAAGTTGCAGATCAAGCAAAACGAATGTCAAAGTCCTACAGGGATAATTTTTCACTGCTTGGTGGACCACAAAGTAGTATTCCACGATATGGTCGAACGTCGAAGTAGGGGAAACTTACTTAGTAGAGGAAGACGCGGACCCCCTAACGGTGCTGACCGACACGCAATTGCAGCGAAGAACATGTCCCGGCAGCCCACCGACTGGGCAGCCACGTGCCGTAGATCTCTAGCCGTCAATAGAGTTTTCATTAACGCTGAAGAGGGCTGCCGACGAAAGTAGCATCGATGCGGAAATGAACGGGCAGGGTCCCGTTTTCGGGTCCAGGGCCGTTTCATATGGTTTTTTTTTCATCTCGGCACCACTAACCGCCTCCACTTTGATTGTAATGGTCTGCCTCC